ATAGGTAAATCTTAGAAACACACTAAATTAATGAAATCAGGCATAATATTGCAAATACTTCATAATTTTACTTATAAAGAATATTTAGTCCAAGGAGAGACTTAAAATCTATAATGAGAGAGCTTATGTAGAACTGGAAGTGGCTTGCAGATTAAAGTTTACATGGGAACTTTAGAGATGATAAAAATGTTCACCACTTCATGCATTTGTGAAGATATATCTAACTTACATGTAATATTTTTCAAAATGTTATACCTCAAGTTGAAGAACTTTTTTTTCAGTACTGAGAATTGAGCCCATGACCTCACTCAGGCAAGCACTCTACCCTTTTATTTTATTTTCAGACGGAACCTCTTTAAGTTGCCAGGTTAGTTTTAACCTTGAGGTTCCCCTGTCTGATCTTCTGGTGTAGCCAACATATTGGGTGTTGCCACTATGACTAACTTGAATAATTTTTAAAAGAGCTTTAAAATATATAGCTAAAAACTTTCATACTATTGATAAAAAGGTTAACTCTATATAATTATGAGGCAAATACGACAACTTAAAAAGTTTGGTTCAAGGCCTTTGGGTCATCCAAAAACTCACAAGCATAGCCTAGGTAAAGTTGATTATGTGTTAACTCCCAGTTATGTGCTTCTTTCTTCCTTTCTATCTTAAGAGACGATGCGCTAATTTGTTTTGTTACTATTACAAAACACCCAAGAATGAATATTTTATAAAGAAAAGAGGCTTATTTAGTTCACAGTTTTTGAGTTTCAAGGGCATGGCACTGTCACTTGCACAGATCTTATGAAGGCCTGTGGTGGATAGCATTGCAATGGTGGGGACATATGTGAGAGGAAGAAATCATATTGACAAATAGAAAGCGAGAATGAGGGGAGGTGGCAGGCTCACTCTTTTCTTTATCTTCTCTTTCCTCTTTTCTCTCTTTCCTTTTTTTTGGGGCGGGGGGGGTGTTGGTGCTGGGGTGAAACCCAGGGTGTTGCATGTTGTACATGCCGGGCAAGTGTTCTACCACTGAGCTCTATCCCCAGGCCCTTAGGCTACTCTTTAGTAACAACTCTTTCCAGAAAACAAACCAGGTCCCATGAGAATTATATTAATTCCTTATGAGATTGATGCATTAATAACCTAAATACTTCCCATTAGTCCCTACCTCTTAAAAGTTCTGTGATCTCCCAACTCTGCTACAATGAGGACCAAGATAACTCATGAGCTCTTTGAGGAGCAAACTACATCAAAGGCATAGAAGCTCAAAATGATTCTTGTAGCTGGTTTAATATCATTTCATTACAAACAAAATGGCATTTACTTTCTTTTCTTTTACCATGAATATTTACTCATTTTGGGCACCTAGAGTCTTTTTTTCTTTCAGTGAAAAATAAATGATAATAAGAATTTGATTATGTTTCCTGCTGAATTGGCTAATACAAAATCACCACCTCATTAAGTTATGGAAATATTCTTGATTTCAGTAACCCTGGTAAGAGAGCCGAAGAATGCGGGTGCTTGGTGTTCAGTGCTCAGTAACCTCCCAGATAACTGTTTATGTGCAGGGAGCTGACCCTGAAGTGGGTGCTGAGGACTTGCACATCTGGTCTTTATTGTGGGTGTATGCACAAATCAGGCAGTGAGTGTACTGAGGAGGTATGTGCCACTATGTGAAGGCCTTAGAGCCTTGTGCATCTGGATCATACCTGTATACACTAACAAGTTTTTTTTTCTTTTGCTTTCTTATTTAAAAAATTGTTTTCTAAGTGATATTTTCATGACTTACCAGTTGATTCTTAACTTAGCTTGGGTTTCCTAGAAGACATATCTTAAGACAAAATGTAAGTGGTGTGCCTTACTAATGAAAACAGGAGTGAAGATAAAAGGGATGGAGGAATAGAAAGAGGGAACAGTGAAACATGTGTCATAAAGCAGGCCAATGCTGAGTATGAAGCACAACTGGTGGATCTATCTCACAAGATCAAATTTGAGAGACCAACAACTACTGTCTCTCAGGACATTTCTTAGAAGACAATAAAGGGGAAGCTTTTATCCACTGACTCCTATCTTCCATCAGACAAAGGTCCACACTATGAGGTTCTAACTTGCTTGGAATTTTAGATTATACAAAAATAGGTACTGAACAGGTCCTGTGCCATCTTAGATCTCTTTATAAGTTAAGAGGGTGGAAGGTGGGAAATGATGGCAAGCAATAGGGACATGAGATGAGCCATGAAGGCTTGTTTCCATTTAAAACTGATCAGAGCTCCTGCAGAACTGGGTGCTGAGGCAGCAACAGGGGTGAAAAATAAAGTCAAGAACCAGAGAGAAGGAGAGAGACACAGAGATCCAAACCAATAAGATCCAACGTAGTGCACAGCTGGATAATAATAACACTTGTAGTGTGTTTTTGCAAGTCTTAGAGCATATAAATCAGCAATGAGGGGGACAATTCTTTCTGTTATTGGGTTTTATTCAAACACCTTATTTGCATTGTTTACCTTTGGTAGTTATGATCCCCAGCAGGGTGCTTTTATAGAAGAAGTGTGTGCAAACAAGAGAAATAGATTAAATCATGAATATAGGGGTGTGTGTGTGTGTGTGTGTGTGTGTGTGTGTGTGTTAGCAGTGTTATCATTTTGCAGATGATTTCATTGCACTTAAAAGGACACAGAATATGAAGCAGTTGTGAATAGACTTTTCCAGAAAATAATTAGGGAGCTATATTTATCTCTAAATCTTCCAGGTACTGCAGCCGCATTTGCCATTCCAAAAATAAAAATGCTAATTTTTAGAAAAGGCAAAGATATTTAAAATTAATGAACAGAAACATTACAACTTGAGAATGAAGGTTTAGATTTAGATATTTACCTATATAAAGCCACCATGATAGAAAAAAAGCATTACAGAAAACATTTGTCTATACTGGAAAGTAGTTGTGTATTATTAACTATTCATTAAGTCCTGGAATGGCCTGAAGAAGTCTATAGAATCCAACATTGAGCTTGATCTGTGGGTTTTGTTGGCTGACCACAGATGGATTGAGTAATCATCTTCCTCAATATTAGTAGTCTGGGGTACAGGGAAATTGTATTGAGAATCATCACTAAAGAAAAATAAACAATCCGTGGCCATGGGTGAGCACCCCTTAGGCACACAGTGGTGGTACACGGGGAAGGTTGGAAACTGGTGTACACCAGTTTGTTTCTTGGCCACTATACCAGAGGTTTTTTGTTTGTTTGTTTGTTTTGTCTTGTTTTTGTTTTTAATGAGAGCTAAAGGATGGAGGCCTGTCATAGGGAAAAGGAGGATTCTGGACTTATATTAAGAACCACGGACAGCTCCTGGCTGCTGCAGAAAAGGCACATTATCTTCCCATTCCTGACGTAGTCCAGAGTCTCCAAGTCTGATTTGGATTCCAGTTTACTGATATAAAAGATGAATATTCAACATTCTCTTTACCATTCATTTAATTGCATTTATATGAGCAGGAAGAACTCAGGGATCTCTTGAATTGTCCAGGGGTGAGGTTGAAAGGATAGTTAAGGAACCAATTTTTTAACATGGTTATATTTTATAAATAAATAATTGGGCCGCCATGCAAGGGGCTGGAAGATCAGGCGGGAAAGCCCGGGGGTGGGGGTAGGGGCGGGGATCCCCACGTCGTCGTTTGAATGCTGAGTGACTGTTGGGAAGAGCGGATCCCACCCAGGTTAGGCCACAGGAGCAGCGCCATGTGCTCTGGGCTCCTGGCCCTCCTGCTGCCAATTTGGCTTTCCTGGACCTTGGAGACCCAAGGCTCTGAGCCCCGCAGGTGAGGCGGGGGCTTCCCGGGGTTCCGCAGCCTCCCTCCGGACGCAGTATCGCGTAGATCCGCAGCCGGAGGCGCAGTATGGCACCCCTGGCTCCAAGCTGTACTGAAACTGATTGGGGGTCGGGTTGAGAGGCTCGGAATGGGGTTTGAAGGATGCGGGTAGCCTCTCCCTAGCTGCCGATGCTCGCGCGGCGGTAGCTGCGGGTCCCCTCCCTCGCCCTGCCGCAAGGAGCCCAGAGGAGCTGGCTTGGTGGCCGATTCCCGGCCCCGCCTGGCGCCGCGCAGCCGCGGCTTCGGCCCGCAGTGTCCCGCCGGGCTGGCCGCTACACCCTATAGTCTCTGCGCTCCGAGTCCTGCGTGGCGGCTGCCGAGGTGGGAGAGGGCGCCTAGGGTCGGGGCCGCCGGGCAGCAGAGAGCGCGGGGGAGGGCCAGGAGCTTGGCGCGGCCAGCTCCGCCTCCGACTCGTCCTGCCTCCTCCCCCTCCCTTCGCTCCCGCGCCTGCTGCTCCTCCCCTCCCCGCGCCCGCTCCTCCCCCTCCTCT